GTCTGGGCCCGAGGTGAGCTTAATAGCCGACGACTGCTGTATCAGGATTATGAACAGGCCAGCTTAAATCTAGTCAATGCTATCTTTTGTTTTGTTTCCAGTTATGTAGTAACGCATTGGTATATTAAAACGTGTGTATTATAGGGCTACGATACTTCAATTGGTTTTCGTGGCAGTGAACTTTCTGGTGGCCAGAAACAGCGAATCGCGATTGCGAGAGCTCTCCTCAGGAAACCAGCCATCCTACTACTGGATGAGGCCACCTCCGCTCTGGACATGGAAAGTGAACGCGTAGTCCAGGCAGCATTGGACAAAGCCATGGCTACTGCAGAACGCACAAGTATCTTGGTTGCCCACCGCCTAACGACTGTGGAAAGTTGCGACCAGATAGTGGTACTTCAAAACGGACAAAGAGTAGAATTTGGAAGCCCAGAAGCGCTAATGGAGGCCAAGGGGGCTTATTTTGCCCTTCACAATGCTGATACAACCGCAAAAAAGTAAAGGGCTTGTTTGAAAAATGATCCACAGAATTCGTTCCTCGGTACTTCTTGTAATTACATCAAAATAAATGCTAAAATACTTTATTCTGCTCATTTGGCCAAATGGAAGAAATAGCAGGTTTATTCGCATTTTTGGGTGTTCAGCAAGTAAAACTGGACTTGTTTTTCGGAATTTACTGATTGCTTGAAGTGACGTTCGAAAGAATAAGCTTGATAAACAGGTTATTAAATTAGATTCAGACGTGTTAATATTAATCCTGGCCCAAGTTTAGCAAGTTCAACTTAGTTGAAGTCACATTTTTTGCCGGCATCTCAATTGAAACATCAGTCGTCAGCTCAGCAAAGATGTCTGTGCAATGCAAAGTGGTGACTGGTCAAACGAGAATGATTCTTTGCAGGTAGCCCGACTATAAGTTTCACTTTATTTTGAGTTACGATTGGTCTAGTTTTCAGTTAAATTCGTTCCTTTGAGGTTAGTTTAGCTTAGTTTTTTGTTGATTTTAGTGTAAATTTCACTTTATTATTTAATCTAATTAGTTTGATGTTGGTTTTAGTTTAGATTTGTCTAGTTTACATAGTTAAGTTTTGTGTTAGTTTATTTTACTTGTTTATAAGTTTAGTTTTAAAAAAAGGTTTTGGTTTTATTTATTTATTGAGTTTGATTCCTTTCAGTTTGCGTTCAGTTTAATTTAGTATAGTTGAGCTTAGTTTACTTAGTTAAAATTGCTTTATTTTATCCTTTTGTTTACTTAAAGTTAAGTTTTTGGTTTAAAGTGTAGTTTTTTAGTTTTATATCAGTTCCACGACTATAGAAATTTTGAGGATTTAACTAAAAGGGCAAGAATAAACATCACTACAGTTTTGGATTTGTGTTTGCTTGTGAAATCTGGAGGGCTAATTACAGTTCTCCTTTGGGACTGCTCTAAAAAGTTAACGTTTCCCTTTTTCGGATGATAGTTTGCCTGGTGCTTGCCTACAGCACCAACAGAACGCTGTGTATCGAAAGGAAACGTGTCCAGGCGGATTACTACCATCCCACAAGATTTATACCTGATTGTTGTTGCTATTTAAAATTCAAAACGATTCAAATCTGCAACACAAGAGTCAAAGTTAACCAAATGTTTTTGCATACAAAATGCAATCATACGCAAAAGAGAATTACTAGTGTCCGAAGTGTCAGTCCGACATCTGCCAGCATTTCCGTTTGATATAGCATTAAATGCTTTATAAAAATTCGATTTGATGTAAAAAATAAATAAGGAAGCAAAAACATATCATGGAGGTTTTGAGAACGACATTCGAGCAGTGATAGCGAATCGAGTAAGTAAGATTCGCGCCAAATATCCGCCAAGGTTGAATTACCAACTATGAAAAACTGCTGATATAAAAGTGTACTTAGCTTAAAGAGCCCCTCTCTAGACTGAGGTGTGAGTAAAATTTGTTCCACAAAAAGTATGTAAAAGACTGAAATCGGAAAGAAGCGCTCATGAAAGTACTCTTTAATGTTTCCAGTATATTATTTAGCTGGATCGCAAATGACGCGTTGATTCTTTGCGGCTGCTATGTAAGACAACAACAGTAAATACTAGAATTTTTCGATATATATGCAGGAACAAGCACAAAATGTCCTTCCCTATGGAAATATAGTGCCGCGAACATTTTATTCCCTATCTTACACGGAAGGAATGACCACACCAT